CCCAACCTGGCCTCTCCAAAGTGAAGGGACCCAACCAGGAAAGACCTCTTAGAGAAAGGGATGCTCCTCCTCACCTTTCCGTCAGCTGAGAAGGGCCTACCTGGGAGAATGGGGAGCAGGGGGCCCCCACGCCTCGTCCCGGATGCTGATCACGTCGTCCGGCATATCCTATGGGTCGAGGGAATTCCTAGGAATTCAAACCAGGGGCTTGGTTAAGTCACTCCTTTGAAAGCCAAGTTTCCACCAAAGCTCAGCTCATGGCCTCAATTCAGGGCATGCCGGGGGGGGGGCTTTGTGGAGGTGGACTTTCCGGCTCCTGTTCTCCAGCCCCCCAGCCCACCTCTTTCCTTTTGACAAGGGCAAAAGCCTTCCTTTCTCACTCCTTGGGTGGGAGCTTTCTTCCACCGGGTAGGTCACCTTCTTCTCCGGTGACGATGGACTAAGAGAAAACTTCACAGTGTAGAAACGGAGGGAATTTTCTACCCCATGTAGCAGCTGCTGGTGTAGAAGGTCAGGCTTCTGGTTGTATTCCGGAGCCTCCGTCTTGCAAAGACAGGGCAAGCTTCCTGGGACATTGTTTTGATCAGCACGGCGGAGGCCAATCCTCCAGAGATAACTATCCCAGAGGAAAGGCATGGCAGAAGCGGACATACAAGCAAAAAGAGACCGATTCCCTCATCTTACTGGGCTGAAAGGTAGTCTGGGGAGGTTTGGCCAAAATGGCAGCGGGACTGCTGCCTTGCCCACCACCAAATGTGCCCCCACAAGAAGATGTTCGCTGAGGCCTGGGACACTGTCAACCTGCACTGCTCATGGCTGAAACTGGGATCTCCAGAAAAACGTATTTTCCTTAACGTCAGCCTGCCATGGCCAGGCTCCCCTGAATTCCCCTTTAAATGAGAACGGCCTACTCTCCTCACAGCGCTAGGCATGGTGTGCACCCTTTGTGTTTGGCACCATCAGGGGGGAGGTGTCAAAGAACACGGGGAAATCCTTTAAAAACGTTTTGGCTGTTTGTGCTTTTTTAAAAGTTCCAGATATCTAGAAATTCCTAATTTAAAAAAATCCAATTGACTACAATTCTAAATTCTGAATCCAAACCCCAAATCCAAAAGTGGGTCCCAGTGCACTTCCCTATTATATCAGCATTTATTCTCAACTATAAGCAGAGTAAATACAGTAACTGTTCATTGGCTAACACATGGCTCTTTTTGAAGGGCAAAACTTTTTGTTCTAAAGAGTTGATTCTTTTTTTTTTCATGAACCAGCTTCTGGTACTGGGGTCAGAGCTTTGCCAAAGGAATTAGCTTTCTCTCTCAATCTCAATCTCACACACAAATATATGAGATTATAAGAAAACTAGCATATTAAACAAAGGTATTACTGGGGTGGGAATGATTTTAGATGCTGGATGAGGTAGTCGGTTTGCCACTCTGTGGGGAAGCCAGCCAAGGCTCTGATTTACGTCTGCTAATCCTCCTGCTCTTGAATTTGTGATGTTGACTTCTAGGTAGTGCTATAGATTTATGAGCCCTCCCTTCGCCTGGCAAAAAGGGAGGGTGCAAACCATGCTTCCAGCCCTCCCTCCCAAGCCAGTTTTGATCCATTAGCCCAAGGACATTTCCTGTAGAACATTATAATTTAATACAGTAGTTAAAGTTTAGTAAAAATACCTGTACCATTTCATCAGCTGGCCTCCAGCTTTAAAAAAAAAGTGCATTCTTTTCCCCTCACTTAATTTCTGTGAAAGAATTTTGTCCTTGACCCAGAGGTCCTGACTAACTACAGGCTAGTCTCAAATTTACATATTTATTTATTTATTTACTTTTGGCTAAGGTAGCGGCTCGGATCTATCTCATCTGGGTTTTCGGGTGGGATATGGGACTCAGATTTCAGTCACCTTAGTCAAGAGGGAACTGGATAAGGTATACACTGTGCTTTTAGTTTTCCTAGCCTTTTGGCAGTTTTGAATACTGTTTGCTTTACTAACCTGTTGAACTGCCTGCCTGAGTGGAAGATCGGCCAAGAGGGCAAGGCAGAGAAGCCCGAGATGTTGTCAGAACTGGAAGATCAGTTGAGGAGATGTTAAAAACAGGCCAGCTGGGCTAGGTGAGCGGCTGATTGAGCTGGAGGAGGCAGGGGAAGAGAGCAGCAGAGCCTGTTGCAGCTGCCTTTACGAACTGGGACGAACCGGTTCATGCCCATCTCTACTTAGGGGACATCGTTTGACGTCATAGATTTTGAGGCTGAAAATAAGATTTTGATGTGTTGCTACCTTACCCCCGATATTTCTTAATAATATCATGAGAAAGGTCATCCAAAGCTTTGCATTTCATGCCACCAATATGCTGATGATCCCTGTCTCCTGATATCCCTTCCCCTGCATCTGGCATTTGGAGGTCCCTTCCTTCTAAGCCTGGAGATTATACCTCCCCACTTTGTAACCTACGGTGGACTTTTCCTCCCGAAATCTCTCCAGTCCCTTGTGAAAGGCATCTAGGCCAGAGGCCGCCCCCCACATCCTGTGGCAAGGAGTTCCGCAGACCAACAGCACACACGATCAAGAAATATTTTATTTTCTCCTGATTGCAGATTTTTTCCACCCTGATTCTCCACGAAAACGCCCTCTGCCTGCCTGCCTGCATGCATGCACAACCTCCGCCGTGGTCTACAAGAGAGTAAAGACGGGGAGCGCAAAACACACAACCGGCCCCCGGCCCACCTGTAAATACTGAGGATTGGGGGAGGGAGGGGCGGAGCGGGAGGAAGCGAGGAGGGGGCGTGGTGTTGAGGCTGTCCCTCCTGCTATTGGGCCTTTTCTAGTTGAGGGCGGGGCTTGCGCGCCCGGGAAAGGTGGTTCTCGGGCTTTTGCGTCCCGCCGGGAACCGAGGCCGTGTCGAGGAGTTCCGGTGGGGGCTTCCTTCCCTCCTCGAGCGAGCCTGCCCGGCGTGAGCCCGCTTTTCATCCATCCGATGCCGCACGGAGGTAATCATAAAACATCCTCTTCCTCAGCAGCTCATGAACGCGCGAGAGCAGAAGCGCCAAAAGGGCCGAAGGGATTCTGGCTGGAGCTTTCCCGGGGCTGCCGCAGTCCGCTTGCTCAGGAGTCCCGCTCGGCTTCTGGCGCGGCTGCCTCGGTTGGAATTAATGTGTTAATTAATGACAGCTGGAATATCAGTTTAAGAGAAGGTGGTGATCCGTGGAGGAGGCAACAGGCGGGAAGAAGCCTGAATTCAAAGGCGAGTTTTGTTGACTACAGCGCCCAGAATTCCGTGGGCGGCTAAGCTGCGTGGGGGATTCTGGGAAGAGTAGTTCAAAGTACCACAAAGCTGCCCGGCCTCTCATTTATTTTAATTATTCGGCTTTTATATGGCTCATCTGACTGCAAAGACACTCTGGGCAGTCTTAATTCATATCCCTTTAAATGGGCAGGAGTTAAAAGTGTGTGTGTGTGGGGAGGAAGTCCATGCACACTTTCTGAGCTTCTAATGCAGGGCCATCAGCAGTGGTGGATAGTGGTCAGTGGCCAGGAGAGCTGGACTCAAATCCACCTTTGGCCACGATCTCCGGTGGGTGACCTCGCCAGTTGATTTTTTTTTCCAGCCTCATCTATTCTGCAGGGTTGTCTTGAGGTTAAAATGGAGAACAAGAGAGGTAAGATATAAAGGTAACTAATACCTTGTTGTGGAATATCAGTTTAAGAGAAGGTGGTGATCCGTGGAGGAGGCAACAGGCGGGAAGAAGCCTGAATTCAAAGGCGAGTTTTGTTGACTACAGCGCCCAGAATTCCGTGGGCGGCTAAGCTGCGTGGGGGATTCTGGGAAGAGTAGTTCAAAGTACCACAAAGCTGCCCGGCCTCTCATTTATTTTAATTATTCGGCTTTTATATGGCTCATCTGACTGCAAAGACACTCTGGGCAGTCTTAATTCATATCCCCTTAAATGGGCAGGAGTGAAAAGTGGGGGGAGGAGGAAGTGCTGATGATGAGCTGACAGGGACTCCCAGATAAGCAAAATTTGTAATGCTGAAATTCGGAAAGAAGAACAGAAATGAATGAATGTTGCACGAGCATCCATTCTCCAGCGGTCAGCCTTCTTTAGGGTCCAACTAATACCTAAGTTGCATCAAGTAAAGAAAACTGATAGGAAAACAGTTGATTTGTTTGGAATATGATGCTGAAGGAGTCCGAAATCTCTCCAGTCCCTTGTGAAAGGCATCTAGGCCAGAGGCCGCCCCCCACATCCTGTGGCAAGGAGTTCCGCAGACCAACAGCACACACGATCAAGAAATATTTTATTTTCTCCTGATTGCAGATTTTTTCCACCCTGATTCTCCACGAAAACGCCCTCTGCCTGCCTGCCTGCATGCATGCACAACCTCCGCCGTGGTCTACAAGAGAGTAAAGACGGGGAGCGCAAAACACACAACCGGCCCCCGGCCCACCTGTAAATACTGAGGATTGGGGGAGGGAGGGGCGGAGCGGGAGGAAGCGAGGAGGGGGCGTGGTGTTGAGGCTGTCCCTCCTGCTATTGGGCCTTTTCTAGTTGAGGGCGGGGCTTGCGCGCCCGGGAAAGGTGGTTCTCGGGCTTTTGCGTCCCGCCGGGAACCGAGGCCGTGTCGAGGAGTTCCGGTGGGGGCTTCCTTCCCTCCTCGAGCGAGCCTGCCCGGCGTGAGCCCGCTTTTCATCCATCTGAGGCCGCACGGAGGTAATCATAAAACATCCTCTTCCTCAGCAGCTCATGAACGCGCGAGAGCAGAAGCGCCAAAAGGGCCGAAGGGATTCTGGCTGGAGCTTTCCCGGGGCTGCCGCAGTCCGCTTGCTTCAGGGGTCTCGCTCGGCTTTTGGCGCGGCTGCCTCGGTTGGAATTCATGTGTTAATTAATGACAGCTGGAATATCAGTTTAAGAGAAGGTGGTGATCCGTGGAGGAGGCAACAGGCGGGAAGAAGCCTGAATTCAAAGGCGAGTTTTGTTGACTACAGCGCCCAGAATTCCGTGGGCGGCTAAGCTGCGTGGGGGATTCTGGGAAGAGTAGTTCAAAGTTCCACAAAACTGCCCGGCCTCTCATTTATTTTAATTATTCGGCTTTTATATGGCTCATCTGACTGCAAAGACACTCTGGGCAGTCTTAATTCATATCCCTTTAAATGGGCAGGAGTTAAAAGTGTGTGTGTGTGGGGAGGAAGTCCATGCACACTTTCTGAGCTTCTAATGCAGGGCCATCAGCAGTGGTGGATAGTGGTCAGTGGCCAGGAGAGCTGGACTCAAATCCACCTTTGGCCACGAACTCCGGTGGGTGACCTCGCCAGTTGATTTTTTTTTCCAGCCTCATCTATTCTGCAGGGTTGTCTTGAGGTTAAAATGGAGAACAAGAGAGGTAAGATATAAAGGTAACTAATACCTTGTTGCTGTTGTTGTTGTTTAGTCCTTAAGTCATGTCTGACTCTTCGTGACCCCACGGACCAGAGCATGCCAGGCCCTCCTGTCTTCCACTCCCTCCCAGAGTTGGGTCAAATTCGTGTTGGTCGCTTCGGTGACCCGGTCTGTCCATCTCGTCCTCTGTCGTCCCCTTCTCCTCCTGCCTTCACCCTTTCCCAACATCAGGGTCTTTTCCAGGGAGTCTTCTCTTCTCATGAGATGGCCAAAGTATTGGAGCCTCAGCTTCAGGATCTGTCCTTCCAGTGAGCACTCAGGGTTGATTTCCTTCAGAACGGATAGGTTCGTTCTCCTTGCAGTCCAGGGGACTCTCAAGAGCCTCCTCCAGCACCACAATTCAAAAGCATCCATTCTCCAGCGGTCAGCCTTCTTTAGGGTCCAACTAATACCTAAACAGTCAGTACTGTTCATTCTTTGTAACCACGAGGACTAAGAATTTTGAATGCATCCTTTCTATCTTCCTCTCTCTTTTGTTTTTCCTTTTTCTGTTTTTGGATACACAAAGTTTCACGGGACATGGAAGACAGACTGCTGATGAAAAGGAAAAGACTGCCAGAAAGACCAACAAGTGGGTCCTGAATCAAATCAAGCCCAAACTGTCTCTGGTGGCCAAGATGTTGAAATTGAGGCTGCCCTGCTTTGGGCAGCAAGATTCTCTGGAAGAGACTGTCTAGTCCTGAAAATGGTTGAAGATTGCAGGGAAAGAGGAAGACCGAATATGAGATGGACTTGCTCCCTAACGGAAGCCACAGGCTTGAGTTTTGTTGGGCAGTGGAGGACGGGACATTTTGGAGAGCGCTCATTCATAGGGTCACCATAAGTCGGGGTCAACTTGATGGCACATAACGACGGTAAATAATAACAATAAAAAATGGATGGGATCTGCAACAAGCTGTTGCACTGTGGAATGGCACACTGTTTTGGCTGTCAAAATACTTCATTCCCCTCTTTTTCCATTTCTGTTTTTTCTTGGCAGTCTGTCCCCATCGTCTGCCTCCTGAACGCTCGTTTGGGGCTCCCGTTTAAACTCTTACGGCTTCCCAAAGGGTTTATTTCTTTGGGAGGGGGAACTATTTCTGTCCTCAGAGTCCCCACCACACATCTCCTTGTTTATAGATGTAGATGGGATTCCGCGAAGATCAATACCTGGAGAAGGACTTTGTGGTTAGTAGAAGGTTCCTGCTTGTAGTAGCGTAACCATTGTTCTGTGCTGCAATACTGGGGCCACTCATTAGAAGTTGTCCTAATACAAAATTAAATGTCTGTTGGTTTTGTAGTATCTGGAATAAATTTAAGGCAGCCATGAAGAGTCTGCCTTTCATGGCTGCCTATGTCGTATGTCCTTCTCTTCCTCCTCCCCCTTGTGGCTCTGATTAGGATGGAGAGTGGGGGTATTTGAATGAGGGCAGGTACCCTTTCCCCCTTCTTATTCCAAAGGGATTTTGTACTGAAATGACAAGCAAGGTAAGCATTGGGAGGAATTTCATGTAGCTTGCTCCCATATCATTGAGATCCAGCATAGCGTGTGGGGGTGATGGCCAGAAACTGGGTAGATAGGATTTCAGAACCACCTCCCCCCCATCTGGCCATAAAGGTTGCCAAATGACTGACTATTCCCAGCGGAAGCTGCTTCGCTGGGTTGGGAGTGACAAAAAAGGGTAGAAAGACTGTGTAGTGTTAAAATGGCTAAAAAATGTGAAATGAAGCAATAAATAAAACAATATAAATAGCCGTTGTCAGTATAGCCATAGATCATATCAGCACTGCTGCTTTTGAATATTAACTGTCCAAAGCGGTTGCCCGCAAAAGCTGCATTTTTCGACTAGAAATTAATTTGGAGCAGATGATGAGCTGACAGTGACTCCTATAAAAGCAAAATTTGTTATGTTAAAATTCTGAAAGAAGAACAGAAGTCAATGATGCATAGTTACTTATCAAAGTACAGTCAGTACTGTTCATTCTTTGTAACCATGAGGACTAAGAATTTTGAATGCATCCTTTTCTATCTTCCTCTCTCTTTTGTTTCTCCTTTTTCTGTTTTAGAGTACACAAAGTTCCACGGGACATGGAAGACAGACTGCTAATGAAAAGGAAAGGCAGAAGCCTTGCTGGGAAGCAGCAGGAGGCTTGTGGGGTCTGGCTGGATACTTCAGCACTCAAAAGACGCAAATTACAGGTCAGTCAACTGAGCCTGAATAATATTTTTTTAAAAAACTCCACGTT